TCACTTGGTTTGGTTTCAGGGGTTTCGGTTGGCAGAGCATCAGTAAGGAACTGTTCAATAGGCTGGCATGGGGTCAGTCCCTAACGTAATTCTGGTTCATGGTGGGGGGAACGACCTAGGCTTGATCCCGCAGCGGGAACTGTTGAGGAGGATGAAGAGGGATCTGGATCGGCTACGTGAGCTGGTTCCTGGCGTGGTAGTGGTTTGGTCCGAAATGGTGCCTCGCTTTAACTGGAGACACGCCAGGGATTCGGCTGCGATAGCGCGTAGTAGAAGTAAGGTCAATAAGACCATGGCGGTTTTCGTGAGGCGGATGGGTGGCGTAGTTGTGCGTCACAAGGAATTGGGAGGTATGCTGCCTGGGTATTTTAGGAAGGACGGGGTTCATCTATCCGACGTGGGATCGGATTTACTTAATTTGGGCTTTCACGATGGTATTGCACAGGCCCTGTTTTTGTGTGGTGGAGGTCGCACATGTTCTTGAGGGGGTCAAGTCATGTGCTGTGGCGGAATAGGGCCTGGGTTAAAGAGGATTTAGGTGGAATAGGAAGTGGGCAGGCCAAGGTCTAGGCTGGACTATGCCGGAGTGGAAAATGGTTGGTAGGTTCTAGCTCGTTGGTGGCTACGAATCTGGGGGTGTAGGGGTGTCTGGGTACACCCCTACAGTTAAACATATGGTTATGGGGCCTCTTTGGTAGGCCATGGGTTAAACGTTATGTATTATTGGAATGTTTTATTGATGTTATTTGGTAGGGTCATTGTCGGGGGTATTGGGCAAGAAGGTCGGACATAATTAATACTTGTGACAATGACCCTAAATTGTTAAATTGTTGAATTAAAATTTTAATAAAGCTGTGGACTTTATACTCCAACAGAAATGGTGTCACAGAGTTATTTTATTAAAGGTTTTGGCACATGCCGAATAACGACTGTGCACATGTCATGAAGCCCATGGAGCAACGCAGGGGGGGGAGTGGGCCTTGACAGGGCCAGAGAGTGGGCAGGTGAAGTTAAGGTCAAGGGGTGTGGAAAAGTAATGTCTGGGAGGGGGGGGGGAGGAGAATAAGGATTTAAATAACGGCCATTTTGGTGAAGTGGCCTTTTTAATCAAAATCACACTTACTTGATACTTGTCCCTCCCACCCTCCCTTTGTTTTAGGTGTTGTCTTGTTTTTGGTAAGGTAGTTTCCTGTTTGGTCACAGCGGCGGGAATAGGGCCTGGGTTAAAGAGGATTTAGGTGGAATAGGAAGTGGCAGGCCAAGGTCTAGGCTGGACTATGCTGGAGTGGAAAATGGTTGGTAGGTTCTAGCTTGTTGGTGGCTACGAATCTGGGGGTGTAGGGGTGTCTGGGTACACCCCTACAGTTAAACATATGGTTATGGGGCCTCTTTGGTAGGCCATTGGTTAAACGTTATGTATTATTGGAATGTTTTATTAATGTTATTTGGTAGAGTCATTGTCGGGGGTATTGGGCAAGAAGGTCGGACATAATTAATACTTGTGACAATGACCCTAAATTGTTAAATTGTTGAATTAAAATTTTAATAAAGCTGTGGACTTTATACTCCAACAGAAATGGTGTCACGGAGTTATTTTATTAAAGGTTTTGGCACATGCCGAATAACGACTGTGCACATGTCAAGTTCTTTATCCAGAGAGACATCCCAAGAGGCTGGTGGACAGGAGCGACCATACAAGGCAGTTTAGCCCTTTCTCCTATCAGATAGTGGCCTGGTTGTGTCACCCTTCCACAACTCTTTGTGGTAGGAAGCAGTGTTGTTTTTTTGCATATAATTTTTTTTATATAACAGCCTTAGTATTATAAACATCTGAATGTACATCAGCTAAATCTTATCTTCTTACCTTCATTCTGTACATGCCTCCCTCTGCATATGTGCACATTAACATGTGTGTATGTGTTTGTAAAATTCTATCTAAAATTTTTATTTTTTTATATATAATATACATTTCATTCCATGAAAATTAATAAACCACCCCACACACACACTCCACCGTGCTGTACGCAGAGGTGCATGTGCTCAGACAGAACTAAAGAAGAAATTCCTGAATTTGTGCACTTGTCCGTCAATTTACTGCAGAAAGATCAAGCCCAGGGCATCTTGGGGCAGGAAACTGCTGTGGAAATTATGTATTTTACTTACCTACTCTGTGCTACATATACTGATGATAACTAGACTTGTGAAGGGCGAAAAATTTTGGTACTTAAAGGACCACTCTAGGCACCCAGACCACTTCAGCTTAATGAAGTGGTCTGGGTGCCAGGTCCTTCTAGGGTTAACCCATTTTTTCATAATTATAGCAGTTTCAGAGAAACTGCTATAATTATGAATGGGTTAAGCCTTCCCCCTAATCCTCTAGTGGCTGTGTCATTGACAGCCACTAGAGGCGCTTGCGTGCTTCTCACTGTGATTTTCACAGTGAGAGCACGCCAGCGTCCATAGGAAAGCATTGAGAATGCTTTCCTATGTGACCGGCTGAATGCGCGCGCAGCTCTTGCCGCGCGTGCGCATTCAGCCGGCGGGGCGGATCGGAGGCGGAGAGGAGGAGGAGAGCTCTCCGCCCAGCGCTGGAAAAAGGTAAGTTCCCCCTTCCAGAGCCGGGCGGGAGGGGGTCCCTGAGGGTGGGGGCACCCTCAGGGAACTATAGTGCCAGGAAAACGAGTATGTTTTCCTGGCACTATAGTGGTCCTTTAAAAATTAAGTTAATGATGCTCTTTGGCAAAAATTGTCAGGCCATTCAGGCAGCCCAAACAGCAAGAAAAATGCAGCCTATGACTGTCATAATATGCTAAATGGCTACAATATTCCCTGGCCTAACAGAGATGCAAAATCAGCCATTTTTCCAAATCTTAAAGGACCACTATAGTGCCAGGAAAACAAACTCATTTTCCTGGCACTATAGTATTAATAAGTCCTCCTCCCCTCCCCCCCACCCACTGGCTCTCCCTCCCACCGGGCTCTAGGGGGAGGAAGGGGTTAAACACTCACCTTTTTCCAGCGCCGGGCTCCCTCGGCGCTGGGGACTCTCCTCCTCCTTCCGACGTCATCAATGCTTTCATGTGGACGCTGGCGTCTTCTCACTGTGAAAATCAGTGAAAAGCGCGGAAGCGCCTCTAGCGGCTGTCAATGAGACAGCCACTGGAGGCTGGATTAACCCATATGTAAACATAGCAGTTTCTCTGAAACTTCTATGTTTACAGCAGGCAGGGTTAACCCTAGATGGACCTGGCACCCAGATCACTTCATTGAGCTGAAGTGGTCTGGGTGCCTATAGTGGTCCTTTAACAAAATAAGATTATTATATATCTGGGTTGAAAAAAAATAGGAAGTGAGAGAACTATTAAAGGACCACTATAGGCACCCAGACCACTTCAGCTCAATGAAGTGGTCTGGGTGCGAGGTCCATCTAGGGTTAACAATGCAGCTGTAAATATAGCAGTTTCAGAGAAACTCTTATGTTTACAATAGGATTAATCCAGCCTCCAGTGGCTATCTCATTGACAGCCGCTAGAGGCACTTCCGCGCTTCTCACTGTGAAAATCACAGTGAGAAGACGCTGACGTCTATAGGAAAGCATTGAGAAATGCTTTCCTATGAACTGATTGAATGCGTGCACGGCTCTTGCCGCTCATGCGCATTCAGCGCTGACGTCGGAAGAGGGAGGAGAGTTCCCCAGCGAGAGTTTAACCCCTTCCTCCCACTTCAGCCTGGCGAGAGTGGGACCCTGAGGGTGGGGGAGGGGAGACCCAAAGACCCTATAGTGCCAGGAAAACGAGTTTGTTCCTTAACTGCTTTCCTTCTGCACTCCAAGTGCTCAGTCTCCTTGACTCTCTCACAGGAGAGAACAGCGTCTCTCCTACCTGCTTCCAGGGAGGAAGCCAGCAATCCCCCTTTACCTGCCAGCAGCTGATTATCCGCAGCTGGGCAGTGGGTTGGAGACAGATCAAAACTCTGGCCTGGAACTTATTTCTCCCAGTTGTATGCAAACTGCGGAGTGGAGCATTGGCCCACCCTGCTCTCCAAATGCTCCACCCCGCTCTCCAAATGCTCCATCCCAGGGGCCCATAACTAAACTTTGGTTTGTGTTGCCTACAGCACATACTACACATACTCCCCCTGTTATAGGCCTATCTGTCTTCACTTTATCACACTGTCCACAAACCACATCTTCCAATATCATCCTCCTCTCTGGCCAGATGGGTCAAATGGATTATGACATTAGCAGGCATAGATACTTCCGTGTTCTCTCCACATTCTGTTCGTGGAGCCACGGCCTCAAAAGCCTCCGCGGTAGGATGTCGATTGGAGGATATCTTAAAAGCTGCCCGTTTCTGCTTGTGAGCATTGGTTAGTGGTGGCCGAATAGAAGGTTTATGCACAGTTGCAAGACTCTGGAGGACTCTACACCTTGATGTCCATGGGACTCCATAGGCACCAGCAGCTTCAAATATCTGTTTGCTGCTATGTAATGGTATTTTAGCAGCTGCTCTCTTGATCCGATGCATGGATCTGGCAGAAATCTTCCTCAATGTTCCTTTATTTGCACAAACCCATCTGTGCTCTGAATCAGCCACAAATCTCTTAATAGTGCAATGATCACGCTTAAGTTTTCGTGAAATATCTAATCTTTTCATACCTTGTCCAAGGCATTGAACTCTTCCACTCTTTTCGGCAGCAGAGAGATTATTTTTCTTCCCCATAGTGCATGAAAATGGTGCTCTGCTTAAAAATGTGGAACATCCTCCTTTAGTAGTTTTTCCTTAAATTGGGCTCACCTGGCAATCGAATTATCACAGGTGTTCGAGATTGTTTTCAGTGATCAAAAGAGCCCTGAGACATAATGCCATCCATGAGTTAAACTGAAAAACAAAATATTTAATCTTTGTGACACTTAAATAGAGTTTGCATAATAATTTGGAACAGGGTGTAGAGGCGATGTATATCGCCACATGTTCCGAGGGACACCATTCCGCTGAAGTTCAACAGGGTTGAAAAGAGGTACCCCCTGAGGATCTATAATCCTGGAATCGTCGCCAGACCCTGACAAACTTACCTGGGCACCTGACAACGTCACGGGGAAGGTGCCTAAGGAGGAGGCAGAATCCTCTCCCAATGCACTGTCGGAGTCTGACTTGGACTGACCCTCTAAATCGTCCTTGTCGGACTCATCCATTTCCTCTTTAAAGTCGCTGAGTTCTGACTCAGACAAGTCTAGTTGGGCTCTCGCCCGCTTCCATAATCTAGCTGATTTTGCCCGGCTAGTGGCTATTTTGCGTGGTGGTGGTTGCGCGCCATCTGAGACAGAAGTGAGACTGTCGCTCAAAGCAGTTTTGGAGGAGTGTTTGGTCTTAGCCGTAGCTTTGCGACCTTGGGGGGCCGTTGTTACACTAGATGCAGTTGACGTGCCAGTCTGCTGCGCAGATTGATGGACCTGCAAGATGGCCTGTGTAATACTGTGTGACTGAGACGTCGACACAGCGCCCATAGCGGAGACCATAGCCTGTGATATGGATCGTGAAACCGAGGTGTCGAATAGCGCCTGTATGTCCGCAGTAGCGGATAAATCATGGGACATAGTCCCTTCCCCCGGGTTACCCTGGGAAATCTGAGGGGTCACTTGTGACCCAGAAGCCAAAGTTTGGTCCTTGTCAGACTCCATAGTGGGTGGAACCATAGTAAACTGTAATATAGTAGAGTATACCTAGCTATAGGGTTTAGTAACCCAGAATAGGGAAAAAATATCCTGTAAAGGGAGAACAAATCACTTACAGTTAGATAGAAGCACAGAGAGATATAGAGAGCCGTCCGTTCGCCAAAACACTAAACCCCAACAAGGGGAAACAGGAAGGGGCAAGCTTATTGGAGAAAACCGCACAAAATTTTGTTGAACGGCAAAATTCCGCAAAGAGCCCGTTCGCATGAAAAGCAATATAAATGCTGATAAAACTCACTCTCTCGGCAAAGAGAGACTAACTGTGCGAATGAATGCACAGTTCATCTAAAAAATCACGCGAACGATAAAATGTATGCAAACACGCGCCACAGACAGAGTGAAATTGTTGAATGATAGGAAACTGCCGAACGGCAGACTTGACAAATGGCACTACTGCTCGAATCTAGGAGCAGGTAGACCGTTTCATCAGTTGAAAAAAAGAGCGCGAAAGTGCAGCGAGGCAAATAAATGCAAATAAAACATTAGAAAGGTAAAAGTAATAAGTTAATAAATTAATAAATTCTCCTCCTGGTGCCCCATAAAGAAATATAGGGAACCGGGAGGGAGTCCAACCAAAGCAAAATTACAGAATATAAAAGCAGTTTATATGCAGTAACTAATAAAGCAAGTCAAGAGTTAAAGCAATGTGAATGAAAGAAACAACAATATTAAATAAACGTAATTAGAGTAATAATACTGTAATAATAATAATAATTGTAAAACTAGAAAAGCTACAATTTCTGGGGAAATTGTGTGAAGTGTTCTTGCCTCCACCAGTAGTCTACAACTGGAGTGGGCGGAGTAACTGTTATCATTTATATAGCACATTTAATTGCAACGTTGTTGCACAGTTACATTAAACCATACATTTATAAAAACATTAGCAGGTGTTCAAAAGGCCCTGTCTATGACATCACTTGCTGCTGCAGCCTGGCACAGGTCAGAGTATTTTGGCGGTTGCCATCTTCAAACGGTCGTATTTTAAAAACTATAAATCCTACAGCAAAGAGCTTTATATTGTGAGAATCACAAGACCCAGACCTACATTTTGATGCATAGTATGTCTCTGAAGTATTAAAAATGAAGGCACAGTCGCAGTTTAGAAATTGCACTTCAAATTTGAGCTTTGTAGAGTGAAGTTTCAATGAATGTCAATGGACGGCGTTAGTTGCAAACAAATGATTATATTGTGAAAACTATCAGGACTATGGCTTAGCCGTTGACATGTTTAGTGGCAGCAGGGATAGCTGAACGTTTTGATATAAGATTTGTGTAGGTGGGCCTGAAAATAAGGGAGTGGTGGCAGTTTAGAAATCATGTCCTGATTTTTCAGCTTTTGCCAGCTCCCACTCTAGCTTTGCCATTCATTCCTATGGGACAAATTTCGCCACAAGAACGACGATATTCCGTGAACCATTCGGCGAAACGTTCCACAAAGTAATAGCAATCCGATCGGGAACAATCTGCACGTTTTGGTAAATTTTGGTCTATGTAGTGTAAAAACTGTGGGAGGAGTTAGGGTGGCAAATTTGGCTATAATAAGAATAATAATATATATGTGAGATAACAATAAGTGGTCTTGCTATGCAAGAACACTTAATAACAATAATGGCAGTAATACTAGCAATAATAATAATAATAATAGTAATAACAATCCCACAGTTAAGAACTATGGGATCAGTGTACTTAACTGAGGGAGCAGCAAAGAAAGAGGAAATTGTCAAGGGAATTCCGGTTATTATGCTGGAGAGTGGAACCTGATTGGCTGATTGGTTGCCAGGGAAGATATGAGTTAATGACTGTTTCCTGTGTTCATGTCTTTGCTGCTGAGGGAAATAAAGAAAGAGTGTAGCATAATAGGAGCCTCCGTGTCTTAATAAAATCAACATTTATTGGCTGTTCCATAACCATTAGTCTTTTTTTTGCTATCTTTTGATTGGACAGGAGATCCAGCCCACATGATTGCCCAGACCTCCTGTCCATCATGGTAAATGACGCGGCTTATTTGAAAAAAAATAAAAACAAACAAGTAAAAAGCTACTTCTCCACTCTACCCCCTTTTTTTTTGGTGCAAGGAACGTTCCCACGAGAGTATGGTATAGAAATCAGAATTCCAGTTGATCATTGATTGCCCCAAGTTTGGCTGTTTTATAGTATTTATTTGTTTTTAATGACTGCAATTGAATCAGCCACTCCCCAGTTACTAAGACTGTTCAACTGGTTTACATTTTTAAGTGAGTACCAGTCACATAGTTTCCTGTGGTTATGTTTGTAAGGCAGGGTGTAATTCGTTGTCTCTATGATGTTGATCTCTGTCTTGCTAAAACCATTGTCAAGAAAAAAAACATGTGGTGCACAGTTCTACTGTTAAAATGTGCCCCCATCATAAATAAATGATTCTGTTAGTCCAGTCATTACAAGCCTCTTAAGAAAAGGTAGTTAGAGAGACAAATACAAAAACAAAACAACAAAACAACTGACAAAGGTTAGCCAATACTCAGTCACATTTGAGAACTAACTTGTTACTTGAGAAGTTTGACTCACACGTTGCTGTGGACAAAGCACTTATGTGGCGAGATGGGAGAGGTAATTGTGGAGGGCTACAGTGCGTTACCTGCACAGTTTCTGGTGGTGCTTAAATTTGGCCTCCCAGGTACAGAGAAAGTGTTTCACCTGAGCAGGCTGCAATGGTAACAGAGCGTTTATTCACATCCCAGATTAACATCCTGCAGCAGAATTTCACCACTGAGGCCTCACTTGTATAATTACCGAAATTGTCAGGATTAATAAAGCAGAGTCTGATGATTAATGACACTGTGCTAGGGAGGGGCCGTTCTGCTCTTTGAAACTTTATTTCATTAACCCAAGCTGTGAGCTGGCGCTGTCACACACATTTAGAATCTGGAAGAAAAAAAACCATCAGCTTTATTCAAATGCATTCCCAATAGGAGCGCCCGTCACCCGCTGACCAGTCAGATACAGTTCCCCGGAGATACTGCATGGTCTTGTTGGCCTTTTCTTTTCAGTGTAATTGCATAAACTAGGCTGACCAGATGTCTTCTTTAAAAATGGATTCTCAAGAAATATGTTTACAGCATTGCTACAGGAAAATACCTGCTAACAACCCGTCTTTTAATATTGGCTAACAGGCTTATGTTGTCACCTTGAGTAAACTGGATGTGGCATAGCAATAATAAATAATCTGAATATCTTGATTATATTAAACAATAAAAGTATGCACCAGGCTTGAAATTCCGCGATTTTTTAATGCATTACGGAGAAAGCAAAAAAAACAAGGTAGTCGCTGATTGATTGTCAACCATTCCCATACAAATGTATACGAGTGGCAGTGAGCATGCACATGCCATCACGCATGCCCATCTAACACTCATCACATTTAATGCCCGAACACATAATATTCATGTTGTCAGAGTCACACAAGCACAGTAGATTTTAACTGCTTCCGGCAAGAATAGCAGCACTCAAAGAGGTAGTGCTTAGATCAACAAACATTCTCCCAAAATTACTGTGAACTACAATGCTTGGGAATTTATACTACAGTGGAGCTAAGAAACATTAGGCTAAAATACCGAAGCTGTGACTACAGCTGATATAGAGAGTTTTTCCAGATCATTTATTTTAGCCTCAGTTTTGCCTTTCAGATTATAATTAGCTACAATTTAGAATTTAGTGAATAAGCCTAACAGCATGTTTTCTGGAGTCAATGTGCCTAGGCAACCAATATTAAAAAATGCATGTGAAAGAGCTCAGCCATTTTTCAGACACCATAAAGGTAAATCAGGGGAGTGAAAAACCTGAACCTGGACCCAGCTCTGCCTGATCATATTGATCAGACTCCTTCTCTTCTCCCACTGTCAGGATGTTGTAAGGTGAAGAGATCTTCCAACTGCACAAGTGTAAATCTGTCACATGTGCCCAATGTACTTTTCCAGCATTCCTAGGGATAGGACACTGATTGGTTAGATTAGGGTCCCCCTGGTGGGGATGTGAGAAGCCTAAAACAGAATAATATTTATTTACCTGTTTTTTCTTAGCCTGCAGAGTGAGGCAACTGTCACGCAAAAGCATTCAAACTAAAGTGTTTGAATAGGACAGTTGTCTCAAAGGGATACATGTCCTTTTAAAGGGACACTATAGTGACATAAAACAACTTTAGCTTAATGAAGCCGTTTTGGGGTATAGATCATGCCCCTGCAGTCTCAATCTCTGTCTCTCAATTTAATGCCACTTAGGAGTTAGGTAATTTTTGTTCCTATTTATACAGCTCTAGCCATTGTTTCATTTTCAATCAAATGTTACTTATTTTAAAAACTTGTATCTCCTGCTCTGTAAATTGTACTTTAATTACATACAGAAGGCTCCTACAGGGTCTAGCAAGCTATTAACAGTGCTGTATATGAGAAATTCTAAATTTAACAGAATTTGCAATATAGGAAGTGTAAACAATAATGACTCTTTACAGGAAGTGGTTAGGAAGGCTGTGTAAGTCACATGCAGGAAGGTGTGGCTAGGGCTGCATACACAAAGTGATTTAACTTCTAAATGGCAGAGAATTGAGCAGTGAGACTGCAGGGTACATGATCTATACCAAAACTGCTTCATTAAGCTAAAGTTGTTTTGGTAACTATAGTGTACCTTTAAATAGAGTTACTAAAGTTGCTTTGTTGCTTAGTGTCCATTTAAGAGGCATTTGTTAACAGTTACAAGTTGAAATGTAAATATTTTAGTTAATTAGGTCTGATAATGTGATCTGTAGTTCTGTTATTCTGAGAGCCCAGAAAGCTTAATTAATTGTTGGATATATACAGTAAACTATGACTTGTGGAGAAATGACAAGAAAATTGTACGTTTTAGACAAAAAACATGCAGAAATAACTGGATGTAGGATTTTTTTTATCCAATTCGTTTATTTTGGTCTAAAGTGT